CGTCCCACGGAGGCGGGGAGCAGCTTCCCTGGGCCACGCACGCTGGGTCCCAGAAACAGGCACAGCACGAACCAGAACCTGAGCCGAGGAGAAGAGCGAGGCTGCCCCTCCAACGCGCGCAACGCGGGGCTGCAGCGCAGCGGAGCGACGCGCCTGGGCTTCCTGCCGACACGCAGCCTCTCAAGCGTCTCTCTACACACCCTGGCAGCCACCTGGCTCACACACACACAGGCTTTACTTGTAAAACAAGCTGCAAAAAATGGTGCTTTCTAATGCTATGGACCACTGCCCACTTGCCAAGTCCTCTGTCTGAGCAGGGAGGCTGGGGGACACAAGCCACTGTGTGTCTGGTTTTCCCCAGAAAGGTTTGCACCTCAGGGGAGAGAGTCTGTAGATCTAAAAGTCTGAGTAGGAACCAATACTAACTCAAAACTTACTCATTCTGCACCTAATTGGTGGAAGTTAGCTGGGGCAGGGAGGGGAGAAGTGTTTGGGGGATTTTGTATTTTTTTTAATATAATTTCACTGTGCTAGTTGTTAATCTGACACCAGTTTGCAAAAAAAAAAAAATGGCTGTCTACCCTTTTAATGTAAAGGCTTGATAGTCCAAATAATTTCCATTATCAGAACCTGTTTGTGAATATCATCTAGGAGACCCAACACCTTAAAAGACACTTTCAAAGACACTCAGGTGTAGTAGAACTATTGCTGTGTTGAAGAAACTGTCCCAGCAGCATAAATAGCAATAAACTCTCCCTAAGACAGTGGGGAACATGCATCTTGATGCTTTGTTCTCACTGTCTCTGCAGAGCTGGTTGGGATCAGACACTGTGAGCTCCCTTCCCAGCTCTGCTTCCACCTCCCCATCCCTAGGATGCTGCTGCTTCCTGGGATTTGCTACCTCAGGGGAGCTGCGCCCCGCACAGCTAGCCCCAGCCCAGAGCGGGGCTGCAGCGTTTGCAGTCAGGTCAAGGAACTGTGTTTAGCCTGATATTTTTCCTTTGCTCACAGTGGTCACATATTGCTGTTCAAAACCAACTTATTTAGGCCTGGTTTCCAGCTGACTGAGGAGAACTAAGAGGAGACGACTCACACTACGCTTCGTGGCAAGGCAGTTACCTGCACGTAGGCACCCGCCCCGCTTAAATAGGGCACTGTGTCGGTTACACAGGAGCGAAGGAGGAGGGCAGGGAGAGCGTCCAGTGCAGAACTACTGCTTCTGGCAAACTTAAACATTACTGGGCAACCACGTACACCAAAAGAAAGAGGCTCAGCTGGGCCCCAGCTGCAGCATAAGGCACACGCACGGTTTGGGTAGATGAAGGGAAGAGGAGCAAACTACAGCATCTCCCAACCAATCTGCCACAGTCCCCTCATCCCCTCGTAACGGGTTTTACATCACAGGCAAATTTCATACAAGGGCAGTTAGTGTAGGATCAATAATGGCACACAGAGTTGGTCTGAGCATGCTCCAATTTGAGTTTCAGCTACACATACACTTTTTAAGATCCTCAGCTTCAATAACCCTATTTATTATCAGAAAGCCCTTAGAGGTGTTCCAAGATCATCACTGGTCTGACTGAAACAGCACAAAGGGCTTTATCCTGGAAAATATTTTCAAGTAGCTGCTCTAGCTGTCTGTAAAGAAATGTAGGTTCTCTTTTGCTGCTGTAATATTATGTGCTTTGTTATTTGTACATTAATGTTGTCATTTATGTAAATGTACCAGGATTTTATTAACAATTTTAAGATACACAGCTGCTATGTTTATTCTGCTGTTCTAACAAGAAGAAAAATGGTATTTCAACACACTTCTGTAGAAAAGGCAGTTGCGGTGTGAGCATCTTACACTTTTTTAGATAAATGAAACTAATTTTATGCCTTAAAACAAGCTATCAAGAGTCATTTATTTCCCTTTCCTATGCTTAGATAGTTTAGGTAGTACATTTATCCTAGCTTAAATAACTGTCTGCCACAGAAAAGCAGCAGACATCAACATTAGAAAAGAAGTCATAGTTTTAGGTAATCCACTACCTTAGCAGAAGACCCATTGGCATAAGGCAGCTGTGACCTTGCGGGTATTGAGTCAGTCCTCAGAACTTAAACATCTGACCAACTCCCAGATGCTAATGAAGACACGTGAGGGAACAGCCGACACTTCCTTGCCAAGTCACATCGGAAGGAAAAGGGCTAAAAGGGCCCTGGCTGGCACAGGACTTACCTGCTGCCTTGCTCCCTCTCACAGCAGCAATTTCTTAGCAAATAATTTCTTAGGCTGCTGCACACCCTGTGGCTGAGGAAACCACTAACACCCATACCTGGCTGCTGAGAATCTGTTTGTAGTTGCTTCATCCCTTAAATCCCTCCCCTCCTTCTCACCTAAACCAAACAGAGCGCCCGACTTAGCCCTGAGGTGCAGCAAGACACGAAAACCAGCTCTGTAATAAAATAGTTTCATGAGCATTTCTTAGGATTTGATTTACATGATCCAAGAGCTCTCTGCTGGGAACATACATGATGGGGTAGAGGGCTTTCTCGCACGTTGTGTTCTAGGTCAGTCTGCTCAGAAACCCCCAGCACAAGCAGCCTTGCTCTCAAGAGCTGCAGCACACAAGCAGAGCCCCGATGTTCTCCTTGCTGCACTTGCACTCTCGAGGTAGATTAAATAGCAGTTTAGTTTCTCCTGAAACCAGTTGCATACTCGCTTTGTTTTACACGCAGCACTAGACAGTAACACGGCCCAGCTTTGGGGGAAGCGCTGCGCTTTGATGGCTTCAATTTTGTGAAATGGAGGAAATGGAGCTCATACAGCTGCCTGTAAACACACTCAATGACTTTCAGACTAAAATAAACCCTTTCTGCTTTCCACTAAGCCTCTGCACAGCAGGCGAGCCCTGGCTAATGCAGCGCTGCTACTACCTGGCCCTTTGCCCTCACCAAATGCTCCCCGACTGCGCTGCCTGCACCTGCCAGCACAGAGACAGCCGGGCCGGCCGCGGGAAGGGGAGGAGCGGGCCGAGTCCCCCAGGAAGCGCGGGCAGCAGGCTGCTGTCGCCATCGCTCGTGGTGGGGAGGAAGAGTCAAAAAGCCCGGGAGGTTTCAAATGCAAGCAACCCATTAACCCACAGCAAAGAGGCTAGAATATTGCACTCACAGCACCCTCTGCAGAAGAAGGGGGCAGCAAGAGGGCTTCTGCCCTGTGATGCTGGTCACAGACACAGTACAGCAGAGAAGGGCCCTACTAGCAGCGACACAGGTTGGCCCAGCCCCGCGCTGGGGCTCATTTCCACGTTGCCCTTTTTCCTGCCGTTTGCACCCAGAGGCCAGCTCGGAGGCACTCGCCGGGAGAACCACTCGCCTGAGCTCCCTGCCTCACGCACGCCCTCGCCAGGCTGTTCCACACGGGACTCGCACAGCCTCTTCCCTAGGCAGAGCCCTCTCACTCCTAAAGCGAGCACTATGGTGCCAAAGGGATGAGAGCCGCTTCCAGCCCTCGCCCTTGTGCCTTCCCCAGGGCTCGCTCCAGCCTCCGGTAGCCGAGGCAGCCAGAAGCCCTGTAGGCACTGGCAGCAGGATGTTCCCTCCTTCCCTTCTGCTCCCTCCCAGGCAGCGCGTGGAGGGCTGCCCATGGGGGCAGCTCAGGGGTGTCCACGCACACTGGCTCATTCCGCTGACAAGCGGGTCCCCGGGAGCCGCTCGCTGCTCGCCGCGGTGCGCACAGGCAGCCGGCAGCACGGGCAGCGCTGGCAGAGCCCTGGGCCGGCCGCGCTGCTGCAACGCAGCCCACGGCACTGACAGGGCCAGGGCGGCCCAGACACTGCCCCACTGAAGAGAGGGGGAAAGAGAGGCTTAGAGCAGCGCCCCGGGCTCCCTCGTGTACCTGCAGGCCCCTCTGCGGGGAGCCTGCATACACAGCAATAACAAACCGCTCCAGTCATGGGAGAGCCCCTGCTGGGGAAAAGATCTAAATCCAAAGATATCGAGCTCGCCCTTCTTCTCCCCCCTGTACCGCGCGACACTGCTGGCCACGGAGACAGGAATTCTAGCTTTGCTCTTGGTCTGCCTTCAGCTAGCCCTTACTCCAGCCTGAATTTTAACCTTGACCGATCTAAAGCACAGTCAGAGGATGATGTGGTTTGACTAGACTTGTTTAAAAAGATTTCTCACTTACTTGAGTATCCAAGTTTTCCATTTTGCAGTTCAAAGAGCAATAGACAGGCAGAAGGATCCAAAGCTGCCAGTAACCATAAAATGTATGCGGAAAATTTTAAAATGAATGATTTGACTCTGGATACACCTAGTTCTATAGAAAAAGCAAAAATCTGCTTAAATAAAACTTCCCCTCTGGCATGAGAGGTACATTCATTAATAACACCTACAAAGACCAAGTAAAAATAAGCAGCTCAAATTCTCCAAGTCTTTTACGGCAACTGCAGGACACCAAGCCACAGAAAACGGAGCAGAAGTAACTGCAACCTACTGACAGAGAGCAGCAGAGGCAGACACCAGGTAATACGCAAAACCTTGGTCTTCTTAAAGAATCCAGTTTAACTTTATCTACGCACTTCCATATCGTTCTACAGAGCATTTACAAGATTTGCCAGAATACTCCCATGTGCATAGACTGGCTCCAGCCTAGCCTGACAACAGGAACACTTTGAACGGAGCAGGAGAACCTTTCGTTTCCCATTTCATTTCACACTGCTAACAGGAATGCTGTGTAGAAGTAATTGCTTTAATGGTTAAAAAATAAAAAATAAAGAAAGAATAAAATGACACAGCTTTTCTTACCCCTTTACTTCTAAAAAGTAGCCTGTACCTTCGAACACACACAGACTCTGAGAGGCTCAAGAAATGTGCTGGCCATGGCTCATTCTTGCCAGCTTGGCTCCCTGGCAAGCAAACACACCTTTCCCAGAACCGTACCAGTAAATCAGGAGATAAAGCTCTTACAACTGCTGCCTACTTGCAGGAGTCCCTGTTTTCTGAGACACCCAGAAACCTTCGTGTGACTAAAGGCCTAGATAACACAGCTTCATCTCAGCCACGTGCCCCATTAGGTCCCCTGGCTGCGAAGGGCACAGCTCTGGAGAGGAAGACAGTCGAGTTTGCAGTTTAACAGCTATGTAGTGTGGCCTTCTAAATACACCTGAGCTTCTTCCTTCCCCTTTTTTTTAAATATAAATCTGAACTTCTTTTGAGCTTCTCAGACATTTGATGCTCAGGACAGTCATTGAAAAACACACACCGATTTCAACAGCACAAGAGAATTTTATAGTAAAACTCTTAAATATTAGTTTTGAACCTATTAGAAAAGCTAGGGTTTTTCAGCACTGCTGAGACATTCATTGTAATTTGTGCCACTTCTGCATTTTAAGGACATTCGAGTAGTTTTTTGTTGCCACAAGAGGTAATGCATGATAGAAAAAGCCTCTGATATCATCACTTACAAGATAAAAAGGCCCACAGAAGGTGAAACACTGCACCTGGGTCAACAAATTCAATAATCTGCATAGGTCAGAGAATAAGTACTTAGACCTGCTATATTAGCACTGAGTTTCAACACGCTTTGAAAGGACTCTGCGAGTATTTAATATTCAGGTATATTTTGACTTGCAACCTATTAGGCCACCATCAAATCTCTCCAAGCAGACAATATGAAGTAGGCAAGTCAATGGTATTCCTAGTAACCACTTGATACCAGTTCCTCATCTGACCGTCACTCCAAGCACATCTTTCTAGCCCCTCCACAAAGGGCTAAAGGATGCAACCAATCCTGGACAATCCCTAGAAAAACCATTTACTGCCATAACCATCCCTCACAAAATGTCACCAACTCCAGAGGTTTCTCTATCAAGTTAAGTAAGACAGAAAACTGTATAGTCCTACAGGTGTCCACAGGAAATCTGCTTTTCATATGCCAGGCTTAGCAGCCTTTTTTTTACTCCACCCTAGCTCTGCACCCCTCTCCCACTGTGGACACCACTTACCTTCCATTAACAACACCAGCAAAAACAGACAGAACTCGCACTCACATTTTCTTCTGAGGACTTCCCAGGCAGCTGTGAAGAGCTTCACACTTTTCCTTTCCCTGCTTTCCCCTTGCACCACTTCTTTAGAAACCCTCCAGCCCCCCCCTCACCCTTGCAGTGCTGCTCTTCCAGCACAGCTGCAGGTAACTGGGCCCCTCACCAAGTCTCTACAGGCAGCAGCTGCAGCTCTCCCACGTCAGGGCTCAGCCTCTCCCGGATGAGGGAAGTGCTGTTGCTGCCTACTTTCAGACTGCCCCAAAGGGATGTACAGGCCCTGTTGTGCAAGGCCTCTCCTTAGCCAAGAGGTTTCACAGAATACCTTCCTAGAAAAGAAACACTGCCTTTAAACTGGGAAAACGACCTGTTTCCTCAAGCATCTGCTGGCAAGAGGAACTCCTGAGATCTACAAGCAAATCAAATGCAGCAGTACATACAGCCATGGGCAAGTCTTGTTTCCAAACTTCTAGACCATAAACCTGCAGCATCAAGTCAATGCAGCAGAGCGCTCATGTTTTTGGGATAGGGATGGTTTGTGTCAGAGACTAGCCCTGTTTTTTAGGCCACTGGATGTGACAAGCACCAGAACTATAGTACTGCAGTCACAGAAAGTCTGAGCTCTAAACTGGCACCTACTTATCGCCAAGTGGGAACCATGATCTATAGATAGAAACTATGGGCTAGCAGAGCTGCAGAGTCCCATGGCTCAACCGTTTGACCTGCCCTGAGCACAAGGAGAACACTAACACCTTGGTGCCATAGTGCCCATTCCTCAGTGACACTAACACCAACCTTTCCAGCAAAGCCAAGCAGCAGCTCTAGGTATGCACATAGCAGGAGGAAGAGGCTGGCAGAAGCAGCCCGCCAACACCTGATGATCATCAGCCTGCTTCAGAATTAGGAAATGTAAATGACTGAGCCACCGGAATGCTGAGAGCTTGTAAGCAAGTGTGAATGCAAAACAGGAGGTTTTATCACAGCCCCTTCTAGAGCACAGTAAGCAGGGACTGTAGGTTGCCTTCAACAGAAAGTGTTCATTGTAAGTCCTGAGCCCTGGGAGTGAGGGCCGCATCAGGAGCCTGCATCAACAACATGGCCCTGCGGAATAGCGAGCCCCGAGGAACGTCTGTTCACACAGAGCTCCCTCATGCTGCAGAGAATGGCACTGCTACGGAACCAGGAACCAAGATGTCAAAATGCATTACAATTTTAAATTACAATTTTAAATTACAAAATACATTGTAATGTAAGTGTCGCATGTCAAAGCCTAACACATTTCTATCATTTGTTGTCAAAATTCTTTTTTTAATAAAGATACCAACCAGCAAGATGCAGGAAAGTTTACAGATTGATCTCCTTTGACTGAATGGAAACGTTGTAGCTGCGAAAGCACCCTTATAACATCCCAGTGTGTTGCAAGCTCTGCAGTCACACTTACAAAAATCTCTATAGACTGTCTCCTGGCAGTGTTACTGCACTTCCCTTAATATAAACTGCTTTTTAAAACCTCTCTAAGGCTTTTTTACCCTCCCCTCTCCCTCCACTCTAAAGGAAAGCCTTTGCTTTGAAAGGAGAATAGTACTTCTTCAGTACAGACCCGTCAATCATTAATTCAAGTTCACTGATTGGCTTCAAAGTCATTTCTTCCACTTCTGCTTTGTATCTTTAGTCTTCTTAAACTTCTTCTGTTGCTTGGGTCCTCTGACTGTTTCTAGTTTTCTCTTCTTTTCACTGGGAAATAAGAGAAAAAACATATCTGCTAAAGTACACTCAATGCACATCCAGCTGGGAACTTTTTCGTGTAAAAGGTGGGGAGGGTCTACACAGAAATGTTTGCTTCAAGACTCCCCAAAGAAAGTGCCTGGGAGAAAATTATTTCCAATTTCCTGGATATCTTAAACTGGTGCTAAAGAAAACACTAACAAGACTACAATCTACACTTCCTAGCACACTGAGATTCTTTAACCCAACTTGAATCCCATAAGGGATTTGCATTTTTAGCTTCCTCTTGTCATTGCTTTTCAAAACTTTAAGCTATGGTTCTTACAGGCAATTTGAAGAGAGCAACTGGGAATGAGAGTAACAGGAAAAATATTATCAGGTATAAAACTAAGTGTACAATTTACTTTTTGCACTAGCTTCTGACCAAAACAAATATGACAATTCTATTTCTTATATGCACTGACAAGACTCTCATTTCTCTAAGGCTTCTAGAAACTTGGAGCTTCCATCATTCATGAAAAGAATATGAAGGCACAAAAGGTGGGGGAGAGATACAGGAAAGATCACATAATCACTTCAGCTGTCATGCACCACAGGGAGGGAAAATGAGCAGGCAAGTCCCAGCTATAAATCCTCAAGGAAAAGAGGAGGAAAGGCTTCATGCTGAGCAAAGTGAAAGGAAGAAGATGGGCGAAAAGAAAGGAAATGCAGAAAGGCAGACTTAACACTTTGCAGGCTTAGCTCTCAAATTTGAAAGAATTCTCCTTTCCTGAACGTGTATTTTTCTCCTACATGAATATTCACAGGCTCCCACCCAGTATCAGCTCCCAAAGCTGTAAATGCTGTTCCAAGTGAGACTCTAAAGAGGAATGAGTTCTTTCTTTAAAAGCTACCCAAGAGAGAAATAGGACCAGCTTATGGCAGGATCAAGGCTTAACCATGTGAACAGAAGAGAGAGCTATAATAAGCACAGAATTCACATGACCACTTTCCTATTAGAGGAACCACTGAGTACCTAGGAGAGCTCTTAGATGTTCCCAGCTCAATTTCTCCAGGAAAACTAGGACTCTATCAAGAATATTAAGTCCATTTTTATCTGCATTTAACTCCTTAGTTTCACTGTTTTGCGAAATACTAAAACAAAGCCAGCTGGAAAGAGCAGAGAAGCCTCTGTAGAGTGAGCATGTCAACTTCCTTAACCTTTTCAGACTGACGATGGAAGCGTTCTGGCCCGCTTTGCTCAGCACCTCATTCCATTCTTCGTCGTCACCCCGGATAATATATCTAAGTGGAAAAAAGCAAAGAAATTCAAATAAAAATTCCAGCTCAAAGAAGGGAAAAATATGGTAATTACACTACAATTAGCATGTCAGGCACATGTTACTCTACAGAGCCACCAACTCAGTTCCCAGCCAAATCAGTGTTTAGAAATAAAAGCAAAACTAGACTGGCAAAGGATATAATAGCTTGTCACAACTGTGTCAAGAGGCTCAACCCAAAGTAGGTCAATAGCAAGCCACAGTTGTCTCTATCCCAAGCCGGTGAGGGGCAGGTGAAGTACTTTCAGAAACCTCTATTGCAAATGTCTCACAAGCGTGCTGAGGAAAGCCTCTCCTCAGGAAAGAGGAGTGCTGAAGAGAGCGCAGCTTTGAGGAAAGACAAAAACAAGGTCAGCAAGGTTATACTCTCCGTAGCAGCCATGTATACTTCTACTTATTAGCTTTCTTAAAACAGATCCTCAGTCACTATGGGGGATGTCTGTTGTAGAAACCTCTATTGCAAATGTCTCACAAGCGTGCTGAGGAAAGCCTCTCCTCAGGAAAGAGGAGTGCTGAAGAGAGCGCAGCTTTGAGGAAAGACAAAAACAAGGTCAGCAAGGTTATACTCTCCGTAGCAGCCATGTATACTTCTACTTATTAGCTTTCTTAAAACAGATCCTCAGTCACTATGGGGGATGTCTGTTGTAGTTTTGTTTTGTTTTTTTCGTGTGTGTGTTTCTTTCTTTCTCCCTCACTGCCCCTCCTTTAAAAAAAAAAAAAAAAAGCGGAAAGAATGCTCGCAGTGCTAAAGACAGGAATTATAAAAAGCAGGGGCTTAGGAAAGAAAGTTAGTTAAATTAGCAGCTGCCTCAGACCAGTGATATGTTTGAATGGAGGTGGGTTTTTCTGTTTTGTTTTGTTTTTGAATGCAGTTTCTCCTGCATCAATCCAGGAGAAACTGGAGGCCCACAGGTTTCTTTTGAGAAGAGAAATTAACAGTAATTGCTATTCATGTTTAAGCTCATGTTCTGTTCCCCTTGCTATGGCATTCAAGTACCCTGGAGCTGTCACCCCAGTTCAACTAGGCAAGGCAGTCATAGCGCACCAGTGAGTGGGTGCTCTTCAGCCCACCTTCTCAGCAATTTGGAACAGACTGGCCTTTGTTAACACAAGGCTGAACAACGCTGGACAAAACCTCTTCAAATTAAATGGCCCTATCTCTTCTGTTAGTTTTCTATGAACTGTATTCAAAAGTGTTCAAAATAAAATTTTGTCCCCTTTCTTCATGGGGGGGGAACAAATCTATTTCTCAACGAGTTAAAAGGGAAAGCGATCAGAAATGACAAACACGGATGTCACTCTAAGAAACAGAATTAAAGCTTCTTTAAATCCCCAGTTATACTGTTTTCCTAGCATGACTGACTGACAAGTCACATTCACTTCTGTCCTTACCTCAAATAAGACAATCAAAGATTCAGAAAAACTTTGTTCCTTTTCCCCTATTTAAGGGAGATTAATCTGGAGCCAAAGCACACTACATATATATGTGTGTGTGTGTGTGTGTGTGTGTGTGTGTGTGTAAATATATATATATTTAAATAAATGTGGGAGGAGGTTAGAGAAGGGAAAGAAGTAGTGTGTGTACCTCCTATTTGTCCAGGGGGAAAAAAAAAGACATCTGCTGATATTCAAGTTCAGCAGTTCAGTATCTTACCAGTTATCTAACCACAGCAGGTAAAAAGCATCCATATACACCATAGTAAAGGAGCTCTGAGTGGTAGATCATTTTCTGTGGTTTGGAAGGATTTTTTGTTTGGTTGGTTTAAGAAGGGAACATGAAAATTAGCCAGGAGTTCTGTGGTACAATTTTCCTTGAGCTGAGGACAGCTGTGAACACAGCAAAGCTGGAGAATAAACAAGAGTACTCATATATTCTTGTTTGAGGGGACTAATAATTATGCCTAGAAACACAAGAAACTCAAATTGAGAACAACCTGCAGACAGATAACTTTATTACTCATAAATTATTACAGATTATATACTTACATAGTTATATTACTCCAAACACATCTGGAATAAAGGCTGCCATATAGATACATAGCAGGAGCTACTGCCTGAACAGTTTACTGTTTAAATAAAAGACAAAATAGAATGGAAGTAAAAAAGAGTGTGCCAAGCTCCTAGCAGAGGTCCTGGGGCTGAGCTGAGAACAGAGCCAGAGGCCCTCCATGGGCTGTGTGCAGCACTGGCACTGGCTCTGCAAGCCAGCCCTCAACTCCCCAGCCAGGATTCAGCTCTACAGTTCCCCAGCAAGGCAGATCTCCCTTAGCTGCAGCCACATCAAGCTGTTGATCAGCCACAATCTGCTAACTCGTACCCTTTTGCTTTGCTAGGTAGCTCAAAAATACCAGCAGGAAAAAGGAAAAGCACTAAGTTGAAGTATCAGAACAGCAAATTTCATGATTATGATACACTTCTTGGCACTGATTCATGAAGCAAATGCAATGGGTGAATACCCCTGAGCTTATGAAATAGATTTGGTAGCAGAACATTTATATAAGAGAATGTGGTTTGTATGTGAAACAAGGCAGCTACAGCCAGAGCTGATCCAAACTAATGGTTACTGGCTGTCAGGCAAACAATACCCCAAATTTTCATTACAGTAGCAGCATACACTTAGCCCACACAGCCCTCAATGATCATACTCACTGCTATTTCACGTTTACCAATCATGTGAGATTGTCATACTGCAACACATAGTTGCACACAGGTCTCAACAAGAGATAAACTTGAGCAATGAGGTTTTGAGACTCATACAGATAAATTCTTACTGTGAAAGGTCCATTTCCTTCAGCCTCCCCACTTCTTGCTTGTGTTTTTCTTCGAATTCCTTTGCGGCTTCTTCCTACAACAGGACATTACAAGAGGTTTGTTAAGGTCTAAGTACAACAGCAACCATGTAATGCACAGAACATTCCTTTCCCATCCAATGAGCAGTATATCCCACAAAATAAACACCAGATGAACCTTTGAGTCTTTTATACAACTTATTTTTTTATGCAATTGGCATACATAAATGTAGTTGTAATATAACTCAAGAACCTCTCTGCAGTTTAACAAAGCATGAATATAAGAATGTAAGGCAAAGTGGTCACATCTTCTAACTATCATAAAGTGACAGAAATAAAATGGAATTCTTCCCTCCCGAGAAGATTTAGATTACAGGTGTTTCTGTGTCAAGAAAACCCTATGAATATTAGCAATGTATATTAAAGGTGAGAAGAAAGTTCAAAAATTACCAGATCATCATTTAAAGATTTCAGTGTTGGCTCCATTACAATATCCTTTGTTGCTACCATCTGCTCCTCCACAGCCTTTTCCTGGACCGTGTTGAATAACTGGAAATGAAGTAAATCAAAGTATATGAGACTTTGTGATGTTTTTTCTAAGCTTGTACTTTACAAACAAACCTGAAATGCCGTCTGTCCCTGTGACACTCTTGTAATCCTGCAAATATTAACAGGCAGTTGTTTATTTGCATATATGCACATGTTCCACCACACTAAAATAAAAAAGCTCAAGGCTGCTTGCTGAAGGCAGAAGATTTTATAGATTTTATAAAAACATAAAATGTATATGTATATATACAATTATATACCAGTCAGCACTCAACATCACTTGCATAAATACAGGAACTGATAATTTGCAGCGTACTTATCAGCACAGTGTCATCCCAACTAACATTTTCAGATTTAAAGATATAATACAATACTATTTAGAAAAAACAACAATTAAAACAGTGTTATACATACTTTTTTTTTTTTTTCGCTGGGATTTTCTCTCCTTACAAAAGAATCTACAGTCCGTTCCTGAGGACATGTTAAGATATGCAACTCCGAGGCAGATTTCTATCAGCCCCAGGCTCAGCACTGGCATTAAACTTTGGTTCGATACAACCGAGTCAGAGCAGGCCAAGATGCAATTACCTGGACTACTTTGCGGATGATCCTGTTGAAGAGGCCCATCAGTTGACTGCTGGGCAGTTCTACCTCCTTTTCCAGCTGGTCCAGAGATTTATGCTGTAGGCCAATCCCTAGAAGAAGGGCCTGAGGAAATGTCATGTATTTCAGTTAGAGGGTTTTTCAGAGCAAATACATATATAAAAATAATATCCTCTATATCCCTCGCATTTGCAAAGTCCTTGGCTCTACCCAAGTAGTGCAAGGCTTCTATGGTATGAGCTAAATTTTGCTCAAAAGCACTGAAATACCCCTAAATTATTCTGTGGTTGACAAGCATTGATCCATGTTCACTTCAGATGAATGTCTCTCTTTAGGTGAAGCTCAAGAGCCAGAAGATTTTGAGGGAATTTTAAACTATACTTCACAATATTATAACTTAAATACATGGAGTACATCACTGAACAGGCAACAGAATATAACCTTTATAGATTTTAGTCAAAGCAAACACAAAAGGTGGAAGAACACTACAAAGTAGGAGAAAGCAGGAAGATGACTGTAGAATAAGCAATTGCCAGAAGGTTTTTTTTTCTTACTTTCAAGATGACATATGAAATGGGAAAGTACTCCTAATGCAGGAGATGGCAGGAAAGCACAAAGAAGGGTGGAGCATGGTGTGTTCATCCCGTGATACATACCGACTGGGCAGCAGAAAGAGAAATATCACCCAGCTGGCTGAGAAAAAACATCCTGGCAACAGCAGGCACCATATCCATGATCAGATGGTAGTCCACCATATTGCGGGAGTACATCTCTAACCTCTTCAGGTCATAGGGGATGAAAACGGCTTCTAATTCAGCACGGCTGATGGCTGAATAACAAAAAGGCCATAGTGTCAGAACTGTTCTTCCCAGCTGTTCAGGATCTCAGTATTTAACAAATTCATTTTTCACATCACTGACTAAGGTCAACTGCTACTCTAGAGGTTCACATCCCAACATAGCCCTGAACCCAACATACCAGGTCTGACTCTGTTACCTGAATTAGCTTGGCAACTCAAAGTCTTTTCAGACAGACATATGTCCATATGAAAAAAAAATACTACTGTCAAAATAGACCAACCTATCAACTCAAACACAACCAAGAGACTAAAAATAGGACAGACTGATGAATACAATCCACGCAGGATTTCGCTGTCTTGCATGTGGTTCTGCTGCTAAAGGACTGTTCTCATAGTAGCGGCAACCCTGTCCCTGCCACAGAGGCAAGGGCATTAAAAACCTGAAGACACAAATTACCAAGTTCTCTCAAGAGGATTCCTTGGTTTGGCATGTTGAAAATAAAGCAATTTCCTTTTAAATTTGAGGGCTTTTAAGTTAAAAGGGATCATTAGAACTGTCTTGTCTGATCCTTTTGTAACATTGCCTGTGCATTTCCCCCAGGAAATGCTACATCAAGTCCATTAACATGCAGTTGAACCAAAGCTGCTCTTAGAAAGGCATCAAATTCCAATTTCCAAATTTTTGATGACAAGGTTCTTCCTCAGAACCTAAGTAAACTGCTGTCTCTGCCCACTGACCTCTGCTACTCAAGACTTCCTTTCTTCTTTCTACACTGGATTTGGCAGGCTTCTATCTCCCTCCACTGCACTTTGTTTTGTCATGCTTTAGCAGTTACAGTCAAAAGTCTTCTAATTTTGGAGTACTTACACCTTTCATTCAAGAACAGATAAACAAACAAACAGAAAATACACTGTTTTCAGCAGCTGAAAATCTCCTGTTTTTTTTTCCTCGGAAATACAAGCAATTTTTGGATACTATGGACAAAACAACAACTGACCAAGAGGAATTCATAGCACTTCACAAGAGATATCACATCATGCTTGCATTTGAGAACTCTGATAAACCTACACAAAGACACTAAACTGTGATTTAAATTAATATTACGAGCCTGGATACTCACAGGTTTGTGACTGCTGTTTGATATTTTTGTTCTGTAGAATATTTAATGCCAACGAAGGAGAGAACGTGCTGAATTGGTAGGAAAGGAGAGAAAGGAACCTCCTCCTAAAATCTGCAGGACAAGATGAGAAAATAAATGATTCCCGTGGATATGCAAAACGAATATTCCAGAAGATTTCTCTCACATTAGCAAAATGAGCTCAGTTACCTTTCCAGAAGGCAGTAAGCCAAGGCTCCTGCTCACTGTCCTCTTCATTCAGCATCTTCAGCATGATGCATGAATGCTCACCAGTCAGGTCATTCTAGTAATGAAGATATATTGCCCATCATTTCCATGAACATTTTGCTCTCTATACTCAACTAAAGCAAGCAAAGATCTTATAAAACAACCAGCCACATATCAACTGCTACTGATCACTACCCAAAGTACAAAGCAAGCAAAGATCTTATAAAACAACAAGTCATACCAACTGCTACTGATCACTATCCAAAGTATAACCTATAAGCCCCAGCAATGCCCTAAGCAATTTGGTACGTCCCAGCGATGAGGGATTTTGGCTTCTTCATATAATTGCTACAGAACAAAAGTGAATGCAGAACAAACCAATGTAGTCTCAGAAACATTTACTACTCAAATCACATCACATCTTATTGAAGTAAAGATGCTCAGTGATATCAATAGGGCTGGATTTCATTCAGAAACACTATGCTACTTACTGGTGTCTGTCTTAGATAAACTGGCACAAATCCAGCACGCTTCCAAAACCTGGCAAAAGAGAAAGGAGAAAATGCACTTAGTACAGAGCTGTTGATTTTGTAGTGATACAGTTAAATCCAGTTTACCCACTGCACAAGAAATCTACTGAAAAGTAGCAAAAATTTAATACATCAGTAATAGGACTGAACTTGACAGAAATTCTAACTTAGAAAAGAGCAGAAAATGATGATGATTACATCAGAAAGTGAACAAACTTTGTGTTTCAGGTAAAAGACTGACAGACATGGTAAAAGAGCACTTATAGCCAACAGGCTTCCATGATCGCCTTTAAAAAAGAGGCAAACAGGTTTTCATCAGTGAAGTCACAAACTCCTAAGGGATACCCTGGGGGAAGGACTGAATGGTTTGCAGTTTGTATCAGAGACTACTCTTCACCAGAGAATGCTGATTTTCCCTGGCAACTTCCAGGTTTCAGATAATCGCATATGTTCCACAGAGAATCTCAGACCAATCAGCAAAATCCTGCTGACTCCCCTGTCCATTCTGCCCTTCCATCTTGCATCTTAGCGACAAACTGATCCTGCAATTCACTTCCCTCAGGATGAGGAAGACTGCCATGAAGAAACCTGCTGAGACCAAACATATGGCATCCCAGACAAGAGAAAGCAGCCAGGCCTCAGAACAACAACTGTCCCTGGCATCCTGCTTCCGCAGGCCACAGGGTAACTGCTCATCAGCTGCACAGGATGTTGTGAATTTTGGCAGGAAGCCCTGCATGTTCACCCCATCCTCTCCCCACTCTGCTCTTCTCCCTTCATTTATCTATCCTACCACAACTAACAGATAAATAATTAAAAAAAGCAGTAGTCAAGCACTTTACTCTCCCCTCTGCCTTCCTAATGGAGGGACTGTTTAATAAAGATATCTGAACCATTTGCTTTAAGATGAAAAGTGTTTCGTTTTAACCATTAGATTCTGTTGTTTTTTTTTCTTTTTTCTGCACTGCTAAACGGCTCAGCACTCCAGTCTGGCATGAACTCTGCAGTATGCTGGCCATGGAACAAAATGGGCTACAGTCTCCTATCTACAGGATAGAATTATAAAATTATTGTGTGTTTTTTTTAAAAAATATGTTGTAAAATGGAAGTAAGATTGAAGATAAATCAATAAAATCTAAATTATATTGATCTACTGGTGTGGGAACTCAGTTCTTTCATGATAAGAAACGCGAGAAGTAACTGTAGTTGCTGGTGAAAATTGTTTATATTAGAGAGGAAACAAAAAATAAGCTTAAAGTCAGCAGCAGTTCAAGCTTCTACAACTCACAGGATTTAACCTGTTCCTACTATTTATAAGTTGTTCTTCTTACAGCCTGGAGAAATTGAGCTGTTACTAGCAATTAAAACTAGCTAACTTTCAGAAGGGTCACAGAGACATCCAAGAACTGCTTTGCACTCAGAAGGAGTTTGAGAAAACTACCCTGAAGGAACCAGTTAGTGACGGTTAAGTACAACTCTATTGAGCACCAAGGACAGGTCTTAAAGAGGAAGAGGGCTTGGAGCTGCCCCAGATTTAGAAACAAGTGAAGCAGAGAGAAAGAGAATGTCCAAAGTGCAAAATACCAGCATATATAGCAGTTACAGTTTTACACCGGGCTTAACCAACAAATAGAATAAAGTCTTACTTCAGTAATCTTGGTGTTAGACCGTAAGATACACCTAGATAGTCTAGGCTCTCAGCTTGTCTCTCACTGAGTTTGAGAAGCAAAGGAGGCAAGTCTTTTCGAGGTGTCACAACCTCTTCTAACAAACTAACAGCCTGGAAGAGAAAGTGAAAATGGATTAGCAGCATCCTCACAACAACCTGTAAACAAGCCTCTCGTTCTGTATAATAAATAAATAAGCATGAGCATTCCCTCCCTACATACAATAATCAATACTGAGGCTAGCAGTGAAAACCAAACAGCTTAGCACAGCAGGAAGTACAAGAAATGTACTGAGCTCCATACCTCACTGCTCACAGTTGCAATTTCTTTGGGTTTCTGAATTGTTTTTTCTTCCAAACAAGGGAATTTTCCTTCATAGTACATCTGCAGTAAAGTCAGAGCTCTGCTGCCGTAGCCCATCTGTGAAGTAGCAACAGCATAATATATGGAAAACATGTATCTACTTTTCAAGACAAAATAGCAACATTGTTCCCCTTATAAGCCTATTACTGATGGTCAGCACAGAGAGCACTCAGTCCCTTCAAAAATGACAGCAGTAGTAGCACCACTACCTTCCTCCACAGCCACTCCATGAGAAAGGACACTAGAGGCTACTACTTTCTGACTGAGAATTTAGGGCTCAGGATGTAGTTCAGGACTGTATGATAATTGTCAGAATTTACCTCCAGCACTCGTAAAATGGCAAACACAGCAAGAAGATTTTGCAATCTCACAATAAATAAATTACTGGTTAATAAAAATATCTGGATAATGCATACTGGATAATAAAAAAATAAAATAAATTACTGGATCTTGAATCTTCTTCTTGGGATACTTTAACGCTACCTAGTAATGGCAGGAGAACTGGTTTGCTACACATCCAGAGGAAAGCAAAAACCCCTTATGCATTGTGGCATACAAATATTTCTGTGTGTCTTTCACTCAGTTCCTGATTTCACTCTGTTACTACCTCTGGCTCAAGAAGTCCCTAAGCTTAAAATGCTGGAAACTGGGGCAATCAATACGTGTTTGTTATGTTCTTAAACTCTTCCCTAGGCATTTGCTAGTGGCCAGTGTTTCTGTTGTTTTTCTCTGCACTTCAGAGTTATTTACAGAAACATCCAGGGAGATATGTAACTGCACTAACCCCGTTTGCACTGAAAAAAAAAATGGCTTCTTTCCAGAAAATCTTTCTCAGAAGAGCCTCCAATTAAGAGGTTTAAAGATCGCCCTCTTACTTCATTGAACAACTGGCACCTTGCAACAATGAAAAGAAAATCCAGCTCCCATTGTCACTACTTATTATTCTCAGAAAATGCAAAGATCTTTCCAGTTCCCTTTCTACAGAGAGGAACCTGTGGTTGTGGTGAACCTGTGAGGTTTCAAATACTGACACTCAGTGTAACAGTAGAGATATAAAAAAAAAGGGGGGGGGGGG